GGAAAAAAAGATGACATAAAATACAGATGTCAGTATTCTGAGGCTCTGAGACATTTCTTTTCCTCACTGACGGCAACAAAACTCAGACATTATACAATTTAAAATAAAAGGGATAGGGTTAGGCTTAGGGTAAGATATTGAGTAAGAACATGTTTTTATGAACCACACAGCTTCTGGTCTTCCAAGACCCGACCGGACAAAAAGACGTGTTGCAGGCACGAAACATACTACCAATAGAAATACATTGCTTTTAAAATCGTTCTGTGTGACACGAAAAAAAGGTGAAAATCGTGTTGGTGAACACGAATCAATAGATTACATTAATTTCGTGACTAATAACACGAAATGCTGTGAGACTGGGTTGGTCATGTTATACCAGAGAAACTTTCATAACAGCGTTGTGATGCCAAACAGCGTCAATTCAGACTGACACACATTCACTTAAGGGGAACTGGGGATATGTACCAGCTGCTTGTGTGACAGTCAGACAGTGAATACCTTAGAGCCGTGTGAGCTAACCCGGAGCTAACGGGAGAATACACTCCCGTTGAAGAGCAGCCAGCACTGCAGCGGTCGCTAAATGAAACACATTAATAAACAATGAACCACGGCACTCTGGAGAAAAGTATAGGGTTGGAGAAGTCGTTATTTCATTTAATCTGGCTTCGTATGATTACAAGCAACACGATCATCGACCCGACGCAGTCCCCCCCCCGTTGTTGTTGTTGTGAGCTCCGTTGGGGAGAAAATCAGCGACGTAAACGGTGACGTCATGACGCAGCAGCGGCAGCTGGGCGGTGTGAACAGAGCGGGAGCTGAAAAGAAGAACCGGTTCCGAACCAGAAAAGCTCTAGCTCGGAGCTAGAACGGGAACTGCGTTGGTGTGAAAGGGGCATCAGAGAACAGATGGAGTTCAGCTTCAGTGTTAGCATGTTAGCATGATAGCATGTGGACTCCACTCAGAGAACAGATGCTGTTCAGCTTCAGTGTTAGCATGTTAGCATGATAGCATGTGGACTCCACTCAGAGAACAGATGTTGTTCAGCTTCAGTGTTAGCATGTTAGCATGATAGCATGTGGACTCCACTCAGAGAACAGATGTTGTTCAGCTTCAGTCGACATGTGGAGAATGAGACTTACTGACTGTGTGAACGTGAACATGAATAGAATATCCCCTCCTCCCATCTTCAGAGCAATCTGACTATTATAACATTAGCGTTAAGAAAGCTTACTTAAATATCTGCCACAACATAAGTAACCGGATCAGAGTAACATTACGTACAGTCTGCGGCACTGTGAGTGCAGACGTAGATGTGTCCCATTATCATTCATATCATATCACATCATAATGTATCATATATCTCCTTATCTGAGTCAGCTGAGCCGTATCTGGCCGTGCAACACTCACAGTGTCACATACTGTATGCAGAAGTATTATTTTAAGCAACACATTAAAGGTAGGGTAGGTAAGAATGTTAAGCCCTGAGCCTGTTTTTCAGGTCTCAGGCTCAAAAATGACATTCCCAGAACAAATGACCATATCTTCCCTTCTAAAAGGGTTACATTAGTAATCTTTATTCTCAAAGTAATGATAAACCTGTGAGTTGGATGTAGAAAAGTCAGAATCAATATAGATGTTTTTTATTTTAAAGAAAATTCAGATTGAACATAGTAAAAAACTGTAAATTATAGTGTCCGTCCAAAAATTCTTTTTTACTCATAGTGAAAACTACCCTTGGATGATGGTAAGGTAGACTAAAGGCTTTAGGAATCCAAAGTACAACATATAATAAGTACCCTGTATCAAGATTGATGCAAAACAAGTGACATTTGACCTTTTTAGAGAGATTTAGCAAAAAGAAACCACTTCTGGGGTCATTTGGGTGGATTTTCCATATCTCTGACCCCCCTTGCTCGATTTTGATGGTTGACACCTCTTTCTGACCGTTAGAGCCAATAGAATCGAAGGGGGAGTCCCCCACACACACTCATTGTGAAGAGAAAAGGTGGGGGCTTCGCGCATGCAGTTTAGCATCAGAGTGAACCTATCTCTAGCTCTGACATCTGGAAACAGAAAAGCAGTTTTATTGATCATGGATTATCAGAAATCCTTTCAAAGGGACACAGACACATTAGATTAACCTATGGATTAACTTCAGCAGCGTTTTTATCGTTTTAATGCCATTGAAGACCACTTTGGAGAGACTACAGAGCCAAGGTAAACATTTTAGCATTTTTAGCTACATAGCGTCATCTGTTTTGATGTCCGTTTTTGCTTATAACGTCGCCATTTCGTATAATTCAGTGGTAATGTCGGTGTCGTTAGATTCTGTGTCACCTCACGATGTGAAATGATGTGTTGGATGTGGATAAATAAAAAAAAGATAAATAATAAGGTTTTGTGAGTGATTTTCGGTGCAGTAAGGTGTTAGCATTTTTCGCTCGTTGCTAATTCAGAGGCTCAGTGTTAGCATTGTGGGTTTTCTTTTTGAAAAAAAAAAAAAAATGATCAGTTAGATGAGTTTCTTCCCGTTACATGGATATAAAACATTCATAGTTTATTAAATGAACATGCCCTCAGTTTTTTTGCACTACTAAATATTGCTCGTCACTGTACAGTTTTTCACATTAACGATGTGACCGATGATGTGTTTCCTGTAGATATTGAATTGCTCTTCTTTATCACTGTTAGTGTTCACTTTGTTATCACTGTTAGTGTTCAGTTTGTTATCACTGTTAGTGTTCAGTTTGTTATCACGCTGCAGTGTTCAGTTTGTTATCACGCTGCTGTGTTCAGTTTGTTATCACACTGCAGTGTTCAGTTTGTTATCACTGTTAGTGTTCAGTTTGTTATCACGCTGCAGTGTTCAGTTTGTTATCACACTGCAGTGTTCAGTTTGTTATCACTGTTAGTGTTCAGTTTGTTATCACGCTGCAGTGTTCACTTTGTTATCACTGTTAGTGTTCAGTTTGTTATCACTGTTAGTGTTCAGTTTGTTATCACGCTGCAGTGTTCACTTTGTTATCACTGTTAGTGTTCAGTTTGTTATCACGCTGCTGTGTTCAGTTTGTTATCACGCTGCTGTGTTCACTTTGTTATCACGCTGCTGTGTTCACTTTGTTATCACTGTTAGTGTTCAGTTTGTTATCACGCTGCAGTGTTCAGTTTGTTATCACTGTTAGTGTTCAGTTTGTTATCACGCTGCAGTGTTCACTTTGTTATCACTGTTAGTGTTCAGTTTGTTATCACGCTGCTGTGTTCACTTTGTTATCACGCTGCAGTGTTCACTTTGTTATCACTGTTAGTGTTCAGTTTGTTATCACGCTGCTGTGTTCAGTTTGTTATCACGCTGCTGTGTTCAGTTTGTTATCACGCTGCTGTGTTCACTTTGTTATCACGCTGCAGTGTTCACTTTGTTATCACGCTGCTGTGTTCAGTTTGTTATCACACTGCTGTGTTCAGTTTGTTATCACTGTTAGTGTTCAGTTTGTTATCACGCTGCCGTGTTCAGTTTGTTATCACTGTTAGTGTTCAGTTTGTTATCACGCTGCAGTGTTCACTTTGTTATCACTGTTAGTGTTCAGTTTGTTATCACGCTGCTGTGTTCACTTTGTTATCACGCTGCAGTGTTCACTTTGTTATCACTGTTAGTGTTCAGTTTGTTATCACGCTGCTGTGTTCACTTTGTTATCACGCTGCTGTGTTCAGTTTGTTATCACACTGCTGTGTTCAGTTTGTTATCACTGTTAGTGTTCAGTTTGTTATCACGCTGCCGTGTTCAGTTTGTTATCACGCTGCTGTGTTCAGTTTGTTATCACGCTGCTGTGTTCAGTTTGTTATCACTGTTAGTGTTCAGTTTGTTATCACGCTGCAGTGTTCACTTTGTTATCACTGTTAGTGTTCAGTTTGTTATCACGCTGCTGTGTTCACTTTGTTATCACGCTGCAGTGTTCACTTTGTTATCACTGTTAGTGTTCAGTTTGTTATCACGCTGCTGTGTTCACTTTGTTATCACGCTGCTGTGTTCAGTTTGTTATCACACTGCTGTGTTCAGTTTGTTATCACTGTTAGTGTTCAGTTTGTTATCACGCTGCCGTGTTCAGTTTGTTATCACGCTGCTGTGTTCAGTTTGTTATCACGCTGCTGTGTTCAGTTTGTTATCACTGTTAGTGTTCAGTTTGTTATCACGCTGCCGTGTTCAGTTTGTTATCACTGTTAGTGTTCAGTTTGTTATCACGCTGCTGTGTTCAGTTTGTTATCACTGTTAGTGTTCAGTTTGTTATCACTGTTAGTGTTCAGTTTGTTATCACTGTTAGTGTTCAGTTTGTTATCACTGTTAGTGTTCAGTTTGTTATCACTGTTAGTGTTCAGTTTGTTATAACGCTGCTGTGTTCAGTTTGTTATCACTGTTAGTGTTCAGTTTGTTATCACGCTGCTGTGTTCAGTTTGTTATCACTGTTAGTGTTCAGTTTGTTATCACGCCGCTGTGTTCAGTTTGTTATCACGCCGCTGTGTTCAGTTTGTTATCACGCTGCCGTGTTCAGTTTGTTATCACTGTTAGTGTTCAGTTTGTTATCACTGTTAGTGTTCAGTTTGTTATCACGCTGCTGTGTTCAGTTTGTTATCACGCTGCTGTGTTCAGTTTGTTATCACTGTTAGTGTTCAGTTTGTTATCACGCCGCTGTGTTCAGTTTGTTATCACTGTTAGTGTTCAGTTTGTTATCACGCCGCTGTGTTCAGTTTGTTATCACTGTTAGTGTTCAGTTTGTTATCACGCCGCTGTGTTCAGTTTGTTATCACTGTTAGTGTTCAGTTTGTTATCACGCTGCTGTGTTCAGTTTGTTATCACACTGCTGTGTTCAGTTTGTTATCACGCTGCTGTGTTCACTTTGTTATCACGCTGCTGTGTTCACTTTGTTATCACGCTGCTGTGTTTGTTGTGGTTCTGTAGGATGAATAAAGTCTTCTCTGATCTATCGAGGAACAGAAGAGGACTCACTGGACTTCCTGTTGACCCGGGAGCGTTTGCGGTTCTTGGGGCTGGCGGGCCTGTCGGCCGGGTTCTGGGTCACGGACTTCACCAGCCGGTCCATTATCTCGTCTGTAGCGTCGTCATGACAACCGGGTCCGTCCTCCCGACCCGCTGACATCTGAGAGGGACTGACCCGACCCATACCTGCAGGGAGAGAGAGAGAACCTGGGTTAGAACCAGAACCTTAAAGGAGTTAGAACCAGAACCAGAGTTAGTACCGGAGTCAGAACCAGAGTTAGAGTTAGTATCAGAACCAGAACCAGACCCAGAGTCAGACCCAGAACCAGAACCAGATCCAGACCCAGTGTGTATAAGGTGTTTCTCACTGCGGACGGCCCGGCTCCTCCTCAGGTTTACGGGCTCGGAGGTTCTGCAGGTCAAGATGTTCTTCATGTTCTCGTGTTCCTCCTGCTGCTCCTCTGAAGGGGGGGGGGAGGGGTCCGAGGGAACAGCCCCGCAGAACTTCTCCGTCTGAGGAGAGAGGAGGGAGGGAGGGAGGTACTACAGTTCAAACAGCTTTCATCACGTGAGAAAACTGGTAGTGCCCAAGACCAGGCTCAAAACCCGAGGGCACCGAGCTTTCTCAGCAGCTGGCCCGAGGCTCTGGAACACTCTGCCCCTCCATGTGAGGTCGGCCCAGACCCTAGGGGGTTTTAAATCATCACTAAAAACACACTTCTTCTCTCTGGCCTTCTAGTCAGAGCGGAGCACGACTCCTGACTTTTCCTTGTGTTTTGTTTTATTTTTTATATCTGTTGTAATTTATTGTCTTTTATTGTGATTGTAGTAATGTGTTTTTATTACATGTTCAGCACTTTGGCTCGACCAAACATCGCTTTTAAATGTGCTTTATAAATAAAACTTGATTTGATTTGATTTCTCTGCTTTGTTTCAAGACCCGCATCAGAAAGCTTTTGAATGGTGGTACCTTTCCAGTTGGTCTACCTGCTCTTCACGTAGCTCTGCATGTCGTCGTGTAGGTGCTTTCTGGAGATAGGCTCTGCTCAATCCACTCCTCCATAGTGAGACCCCCCCCCCTCAATCCACTCCTCCATAGTGAGACCCCCCCCCCTCAATCCACTCCTCCATAGTGAGACCCCCCCCCTCAATCCACTCCTCCATAGTGAGACCCCCCCCCCCTCAATCCACTCCTCCATAGTGAGACCCCCCCCCTCAATCCACTCCTCCATAGTGAGCCCCCCCCCCCTCAATCCACTCCTCCATAGTGAGACCCCCCCCCCCCTCAATCCACTCCTCCATAGTGAGACCCCCCCCCCTCAATCCACTCCTCCATAGTGAGACCCCCCCGGAGGTCCAAGTTAACCTTACATGTTTCCATCTTAAGCTTTGTTAGTTTGTTTCGTAACGGACTAAATGTAAATATATTTATAAAACGGACAAGTCAAATCAAGCAATCTGATTGGTCGATAGCGTTTTTTGAGGACCTTGTGATTACAGATTTGAAAACATGGTTGCTTGCTTTAAAAGTAGCACACTTCATGATGTCAGACCTTGGGAAGTATCTAGATACCCCTTGCCCTAATGCCAAAGGAACTGCACACTGAATATGTTTTGCCGTTTGATTGTCTATGTCTGGACCGCTGCGTGAAAAGGAGGGGTTTCTGCCCCGGTACTTCTCCGCTGTTTTCTTGTCCCAGTTTGAAAAGCAAGCAGCATGCAGTTTGCTTTTCAGACCAACTGTACACTGTTAAATCGACCAGACTTCTTTCTGCAGATGTGAGCGTCCTTAACAACGGTCAATACGTCCTTGCTGCACATGATCCCTTACATGTTTCTTGAGCTTTGTTAGTTAGTTAGTTTCCTAACGGACGAAATGTAACAGCTGTAGTTTTTCTCAGACGTGGAGGGATACTGACTTGTTGTGAAAAGTAACTACAATTCTACCCGTGGTATACGCTCATTATATCACGGCTAAGAACCAATGAGATTGCTTGATTTGACTTGTCAGTTTTATAAATATATATATGGCTGTTCGCTAGCTGAACAGCCAATCAGAGTGATTTCTTTTGCCGACGGTTTTCGGCCGAAAAGGCGTCGGCAAAAGAAGAAAGGATCAAGAAAGAGAAAGTAAAAGAGGGTAAAAGACGGAGCGCTGGACGTCAGATAAATGAACAGAAGAAGACAGACAGGAAGTAAACACTAACAGGAACACGGTGTGGGCTCTGCAGAGTTTAAGGACTTGTTATTGGATCAGAAACTGTGACCAGAGTTGGACAGTGCTGCCGTAAAGTTGTTGTTGTCGCAGTTCCAGCCGTTGGTGCGCCGTGGAACAGTTTTTATTTTTCTTAGCGGAAGAAATACGATCATTTTAAGTCAATAAAATCCTTTAAATTAATATTGGGAGTCGATTCCTTAGTTTGTTTAGTATCTGGCCGTGTAATAAGCGGGATAATGTGCAGCGACTTGGTCATTATGGGGAACAGAGCACCCTTCAGGCTCATCAGGATCAGCCTGACTGAATGTCTCACGATGTTAGTGAATTCTTAAAAAACAAAACACCATTTCATTTCGGGTTAAAATGAGTTGTAACTGCGTTACTGAGAATTGTAACGGGTAGTATATTACCCACATGTCATTAGTAATGCGTTACATTACTTCGTTACAGCAAAAAGTAATACATTACTGTAACCCCGTTACTTTTGTAACGCGTTACACCCAACACTGGATATATGTGATATATAACCTCAGTGATATATATGTGATATATAACCTCAGTGATATATATGTGATATATTACCTCAGTGATATATATGTGATATATAACCTCAGTGATATATATGTGATATATTACCTCAGTGATATATATGTGATATATATGTGATATATTACCTCAGTGATATATATGTGATATATTACCTCAGTGATATATATGTGATATATATGTGATATATTACCTCACTGATATATATGTGATATATAACCTCAGTGATATATATGTGATATATAACCTCAGTGATATATATGTGATATATTACCTCAGTGATATATATGTGATATATAACCTCAGTGATATATATGTGATATATTACCTCAGTGATATATATGTGATATATTACCTCAGTGATATATATGTGATATATATGTGATATATTACCTCAGTGATATATATGTGATATATTACCTCAGTGATATATATGTGATATATTACCCCAGTGATATATATGTGATATATTACCCCAGTGATATATATGTGATATATTACCTCAGTGATATATATGTGATATATTACCTCAGTGATATATATGTGATATATTACCTCAGTGATATATATGTGATATATTACCTCAGTGATATATATGTGATATATTACCTCAGTGATATATATGTGATATATATGTGATATATTACCTCAGTGATATATATGTGATATATTACCTCAGTGATATATATGTGATATATTACCCCAGTGATATATATGTGATATATTACCTCAGTGATATATATGTGATATATTACCTCAGTGATATATATGTGATATATAACCTCAGTGATATATATGTGATATATTACCTCAGTGATATATATGTGATATATTACCTCAGTGATATATATGTGATATATATGTGATATATTACCTCAGTGATATATATGTGATATATTACCTCAGTGATATATATGTGATATATTACCTCAGTGATATATATGTGATATATTACCTCACTGATATATATGTGATATATTACCTCAGTGATATATATGTGATATATTACCTCAGTGATATATATGTGATATATTACCTCAGTGATATATATGTGATATATTACCTCAGTGATATATATGTGATATATTACCTCAGTGATATATATGTGATATATTACCTCAGTGATATATATGTGATATATTACCTCAGTGATCATCTTCCCGCGGGTCTTGGTTCTCTCTCGATGCGTCGCTCGTTTCCTCTTCAGCGTGAGAACCCGGTCTCTGGTGGTTCTGAACTCCAGAGAGAACTCGCTGATGATCCGGCAGAACGAGGTGACCCTGATGTCCCTCACTGAGGGGGGGGGCTGGCCCAGGAACAGCAGGAAGGAGTGGAACCTGGGGGGGGGAGCTCAGGAGCTTTCATTCTCTGCAGTTTCAACAATTTAAGATTTAAAAGAGAAAATCATTTCAATATCTTTTTTTTACAATATTTATTTTTCGTGTTTCCAGCAAAATGTTTTGCAATATTTAAATATTAACTGTTTGTGTTTTTACACTTGTATAAATGTTCATTATGTTTTCACGAAAACGTGTTGCTGCATTTCAAGATTTGTGTGTGTGTGTGGTGTGTGGTGTGTGTGTGGGTGTGTGTGTGTGTGTGTGTGTGTGTGTGTGTGTCTGTGTGTCTGTGTGTGTGTGTGTATGTGTGTGGTGTGTGTGTGTGTGTGTGTGTGTGTGTGTGTTGTGTTTGTGTGTTGTCTGTGTGTGTGTGTTGTGTAGTGTGTTGTGTGTGTGTGTGGTGTGTGTGTGTGTGTGTGTGTGTGTGTGTGTGTGTCTGTGTGTGTGTCTGTGTGTGGGTGTGTGTGTGTGTGTGTGTGTGTTGTGTGTCTGTGTGTGTGTGTGTGTGTCTGTGTGTGTGTCTGTGTCTGTGTGTGTGTGTGTGTGTGTGTGTGTGTGTTGTCTGTCTGTGTGTCTGTGTCTGTGTGTGTGTGTGTGTGTGTGTGTGTGTGTGTGTACCTGTTGATGACGACCTTCAGGTCAGGGTTTCCGTTAGCCGGTAATTACGTGTTTTTAGCTGGCCGCCGGTCATTATCGGCCGATATTCACTCTTAATAGTTTGATCGGTGCTCTCTGTAAAGGCCGATCAGGAGAGCTGCATCTGATCCATATGGACATAAACGCGAGTGAAGTATAACCGGACGCGAGAGAGAGATCAGATCAGCTGCTGAGTCTGACGGAGACACGCAGCTCTGCGTGATCACCTGAAGCCCCGCCCACTGTTTAGCGAGCTGCAATATAAAAATGAGCCATTAACTGAGCTTTAATTAATCAGCTTATCCGCTCAGAGTCCGGTGATTACCTGCTAACAGAAACTCTGCTACACAATTCTTAATATTATTATTGAAACATGACCGGTAAGTTTCAAATTTGTTCGGTAAAATAAATTCTGTCCGAACATTTGACCGGCGAGAAAAAATCCTAGCGGAAACCCTGCTTCAGGAGTGTGTGTGTGTACCTGTTGATGACCCTGTGGTGCACCACCTTCAGGAGTGTGTGTGTGTACCTGTTGATGACCCTGCGGTGCACCACCTTCAGGAGTGTGTGTGTGTACCTGTTGATGACCCTGTGGTGCACCACCTTCAGGAGTGTGTGTGTGTACCTGTTGATGACCCTGTGGTGCACCACCTTCAGGAGTGTGTGTGTGTACCTGTTGATGACCCTGTGGTGCACCACCTTCAGGAGGTGTGTGTGTGTACCTGTTGATGACCCCTGCGGTGCACCACCTTCAGGAGTGTGTGTGTGTACCTGTTGATGACCCTGTGGTGCACCACCTTCAGGTGTGTGGTGTGTGTGTGTACCTGTTGATGACCCTGTGGTGCACCACCTTCAGGGAGTGTGTGTGTGGTACCTGTTGATGACCCTGCGGTGCACCACCTTCAGGAGTGTGTGTGTGTACCTGTTGATGACCCTGTGGTGCACCACCTTCAGGTGTGTGTGTGTGTGTACCTGTTGATGACCCTGTGGTGCACCACCTTCAGGAGTGTGTGTGTGTACCTGTTGATGACCCTGTGGTGCACCACCTTCAGGTGTGTGTGTGTGTACCTGTTGATGACCCTGCGGTGCACCACCTTCAGGAGTGTGTGTGTGTACCTGTTGATGACCCTGTGGTGCACCACCTTCAGGAGTGTGTGTGTGTACCTGTTGATGACCCTGTGGTGCACCACCTTCAGGAGTGTGTGTGTGTACCTGTTGATGACCCTGTGGTGCACCACCTTCAGGAGTGTGTGTGTGTGTACCTGTTGATGACCCTGTGGTGCACCACCTTCAGGAGTGTGTGTGTGTACCTGTTGATGACCCTGTGGTGCACCACCTTCAGGAGTGTGTGTGTGTACCTGTTGATGACCCTGTGGTGCACCACCTTCAGGAGTGTGTGTGTGTGTACCTGTTGATGACCCTGTGGTGCACCACCTTCAGGAGTGTGTGTGTGTGTACCTGTTGATGACCCTGTGGTGCACCACCTTCAGGAGTGTGTGTGTGTACCTGTTGATGACCCTGTGGTGCACCACCTTCAGGAGTGTGTGTGTGTACCTGTTGATGACCCTGTGGTGCACCACCTTCAGGAGTGTGTGTGTGTGTGTGTACCTGTTGACCCTGCGGTGCACCACCTTCAGGAGTGTGTGTGTGTGTGTACCTGTTGATGACCCTGTGGTGCACCACCTTCAGGAGTGTGTGTGTGTACCTGTTGATGACCCTGCGGTGCACCACCTTCAGGAGTGTGTGTGTGTACCTGTTGATGACCCTGTGGTGCACCACCTTCAGGAGTGTGTGTGTGTACCTGTTGATGACCCTGTGGTGCACCACCTTCAGGAGTGTGTGTGTGTACCTGTTGATGACCCTGTGGTGCACCACCTTCAGGAGTGTGTGTGTGTACCTGTTGATGACCCTGTGGTGCACCACCTTCAGGAGTGTGTGTGTGTACCTGTTGATGACCCTGCGGTGCACCACCTTCAGGAGTGTGTGTGTGTACCTGTTGATGACCCTGTGGTGCACCACCTTCAGGTGTGTGTGTGTGTGTACCTGTTGATGACCCTGTGGTGCACCACCTTCAGGAGTGTGTGTGTGTACCTGTTGATGACCCTGCGGTGCACCACCTTCAGGAGTGTGTGTGTGTACCTGTTGATGACCCTGTGGTGCACCACCTTCAGGTGTGTGTGTGTGTGTACCTGTTGATGACCCTGTGGTGCACCACCTTCAGGAGTGTGTGTGTGTACCTGTTGATGACCCTGTGGTGCACCACCTTCAGGTGTGTGTGTGTGTACCTGTTGATGACCCTGCGGTGCACCACCTTCAGGAGTGTGTGTGTGTACCTGTTGATGACCCTGTGGTGCACCACCTTCAGGAGTGTGTGTGTGTACCTGTTGATGACCCTGTGGTGCACCACCTTCAGGAGTGTGTGTGTGTACCTGTTGATGACCCTGTGGTGCACCACCTTCAGGAGTGTGTGTGTGTGTACCTGTTGATGACCCTGTGGTGCACCACCTTCAGGAGTGTGTGTGTGTACCTGTTGATGACCCTGTGGTGCACCACCTTCAGGAGTGTGTGTGTGTACCTGTTGATGACCCTGTGGTGCACCACCTTCAGGAGTGTGTGTGTGTGTACCTGTTGATGACCCTGTGGTGCACCACCTTCAGGAGTGTGTGTGTGTGTACCTGTTGATGACCCTGTGGTGCACCACCTTCAGGAGTGTGTGTGTGTACCTGTTGATGACCCTGTGGTGCACCACCTTCAGGAGTGTGTGTGTGTACCTGTTGATGACCCTGTGGTGCACCACCTTCAGGAGTGTGTGTGTGTGTGTGTACCTGTTGACCCTGCGGTGCACCACCTTCAGGAGTGTGTGTGTGTGTGTACCTGTTGATGACCCTGCGGTGGACCACCTTCAGGATCACTATCCTCTGAGTGCAGTCCTTCAGGAACTCGGTCAGTTTGTTCTTCAGCGAAGCCTTCGTCTCGTGCTTCGTCACCAGCTTCAGATTCTCCCATGATGCTTTGCAGCGGCGCTCCAGCTGCACCAGGTTCTCTGACAGCAGCTCGAAGTCCACCTGCACCAATACATACATATATAAATATATACATATATAAATACATAAATACATAGATATATAAATATATAAATCATAAAACTGATCTGGAACCAGCAGCTGCAGGAGAACCACAGATCTCTAACGTGTTTATAACAACATGCAGATCTACGGCAGCGCATGAGGGTCATTTTAGTTTAAATTAATAAGTTAATTATGGAGAAAATTAGTTCTCAATAATAAATACAATTTAAAACTCTAAAATTGACAACAATAATTGCTAAAACGTCCATAAAAGTCAACGGTGAATTAAAATAAAAATGAGGGAAAAATAACATTTAAAAAAAGCTTTAAAATATTTTATTTAAAACACAATTTCAAAATAAAAGCCTGATAAATGAAAATGATAATAATGTGAGTTTTACTTTGGAGGAGCGCGTGATGGCGGGCACCTCGGAGTACAGGTCTGAGGATTCTGGGTAATTCTCCAGCACCAGGCAGCAGGTGTGATGAAGGAGAGACTGACGGTGCACCGTGTCCTTCACCTCCACCACCTTCTCCAGGTAGCTCAGCTCAAAACCTGCCGCCTGCACAGAGAGAGAGACCATACAGAGCACACACACACACACACACACACACACACACACAGAGAGAGACCACACACACACACACCATACACCACACAGAGAGAGAGAGAGACCATACAGAGCACACACACACACACACACACACACACACACACACACACACACACACACACACACACACACACACACACACACACACACACACACACACACACACACACACACACACACACACGATGACTCAGCAGTTGTCAGTGTTTACAGAAACAGATTATCTGCAGATATTCTGATAACTCATATTTATACAACAGCTGTTTTCATCAGATACAGAAACCGCAGAGCTTCACTAAACACACACACTCAGGTACAGGTAGTGTGTGAGTGTGTGTGTGTGTGTGTGTGTGTGTGAGTGTGTGTGTGTGTGTGTTACCATGGAGCTGTTCAGGAAGTTCCCGATGGCCAGCAGTGTGGCGAGGATCCTTCTGAACGTCTGATTGGTCGAGAGCTGCTCCATCCCGAGCTTCAGATCGAACAGTGGCTCCGCTATCTCCTAAAGGGGGAGGGGGGGTTATATACAGGGGGGGTAGTGTTATTAGACATATAGATATTTTAAATTAACATTAGCAGCAAGTTTATACAAATTCACAATAGAAAGTATATATATCACTAGAGTATCTGAATAATACACAATGTAAAGAACATACATTCTATATATATTCTCAGTGTGTGTGTGTGTGTGTGTGTGTGTGTACCTTCTCCAGGCTCTCGTAGTTGAGCTTGAAGGCCCACAGCTGCAGGCGGGGTCTCAGGGCGCTGATGGAGGCCAGGCTGCAGAGGAACTGCTCAGCTGAGCCCAGAGGGAGGTCCGGGTGGAGGAGCTGCGCCTCCTGGATCCTCTGCTTCTCTTCTGCCGTGGGGACCATGGTCAGGATCTTCTGCGCACACACACACACACACACACACACACACACACACACACACACACACACACACACACACACACACACACACACACACACACACACACACACACACACACACACACACACACACACACACACACACACACACAATGAGGTGCTTTTATTTTGGCGGTGCATTATTCCTCTTCACCTTGGAGAAAAAAAGGGTTTGGACTCAAATGGTGAAGATATTTAATAATTTACCAGAAAAAAATAATTCATTTGCGGAAATGCCCGACATTATTAAAAGTATTTTTTTTGTGTAAATTACAGCGTTAAATACAAAAACAAATTGTTTTGTGGAATCTTTTATTTTGGCGGTACATTATTTCTCCTTATTATCTAGGAATTATCTGAGTTTATATCCCATAATATATAATTTTTTGGTCATAAATATGTTTTATAAATGTACTTTTTTAAAGTTGGTTTTCTTTTCTAAATAAACGCCTCAGAGAACATTCGACTTGTTTTCTTGTGAATGTAATCTTTCAGAATATTAATGTTTTTTTCTGAGAGATTATTTGAGTTTCTTTTGAGTTTATTCATGAACGATGAGTGAGGTGCTTTCATTTTTGCGGTGCAGACAGGAAGTACCTCGATGCCCTCCTTGCTGATGGCGAACTCGTCGAAGTTGAGGATGGCCGTCTTGATCACGTGGACGGCCGGCAGCACCGTCATCCCGATGTTTATGGCGTTACTCCTCTTAGAGTCGAGCACCAGCAGCTCCGACTTCTTCAGCTCCGGACCCTTCTGCAATAACACCAGTTATTACCAGTTAATAATAGTTAATACCAGTAATTACAAGTTAATAACAGTTAATACCAGTTAATAACAGTTAATACCAGTTAATAACATATAATACCAGTTAATACCAGTTATTAACAGATAATAACAGATAACACCAGTTAATAACAGTTAATAACAGATAATACCGGTTAATAACACCAGTTAATAACAGATATTAACAGTTAATAACATATAATACCAGTTAATAACAGACAATAACATATAATACCAGTTACTAACACCAGTTAATACCAGTTAATAATAGATAACAGTTAATAAATAACAGTTAATAACAACAGTTAATAAGTTATTAAATAACAGTTAATAACAGTTAATAACAGTAAATACCAGTTAATACCAGTTGATACCAGTTAATAGCAGTTGATACCAGTTATTACCAGTTAATAATAGATAATAACAGTTAATAACAGTTAATAACACCAGTTAATAAGTTATTACCAGTTAATCACAGTTGATAACTGTTATTAACTGGTAATAACAGTCAATACCAGTTAATAACACCAGTTATTATCAGTTGATACCAGTTAATACCAGTTAATAACAGTAATTACCAGTTAATAACAGTTAATACCAGTTAATAACAGTAATTACCAGTTATTAATAGTTAATACCAGTAATTACCAGTTAATAACAGTAATTACCAGTTAATAACAGTTAATAGTTAATACCAGTAATTACCAGTTAATAACAGTTAATACCAGTCATTACAAGTTAATAACAGTTAATAACATTTAATACCAGTTAATACCAGTTAATAACAGTTAATAATAGTTAATACCGGTAATTACCAGTTAATAACAGTTAATAATAGTTAATAATAGTTAATACCGGTAATTACCAGTTAATACCAGTAATTACCAGTTAATAACAGTTAATAACAGTTAATAATAGTTAATACCGGTAATTACCAGTTAATAACAGTTAATAATAGTTAATACCAGTAATTACAAGTTAATAACAGTTAATACCAGTTAATACCAGTTAATAACATATAATACCAGTTAATACCAGTTATTAACAGATAATAACAGATAACACCAGTTAATAAAAGATAATACCGGTTAATAACACCAGTTAATAACAGATATTAACAGTTAATAACATATAATACCAGTTAATAACAGACAACATAATACCAGTTACTAACAGATAATACCAGTTAATAACACCAGTTAATAACACCAGTTAATAACAGTTAATACCAGTTAATAATAGATAATAACAGTTAATAAATAACAGTTAATAACACCAGTTAATAACAGCTATTAAATAACAGTTAATGCCAGTTATTACCAGTTAATAGCAGTTATTACCAGTTGATACCAGTTATTACCAGTTATTACCGTTAATAATAGATAACAGTCAATACCAGTTAATAACACCAGTTATTATCAGTTATTACCAGTTAATACCAGTTAATAACAGTAATTACCAGTTAATAACAGTTAATACCAGTTAATAACAGTAATTACCAGTTATTAATAGTTAATACCAGTAATTACCAGTTAATAACAGTTAATACCAGTAATTACCAATTAATAACAGTTAATAACAGTAAATACCGGTTAATACCAGTTATTAACAGATAACACCAGTTAATAACAGATAATACCAGTTAATAACAGTTAATAACAGTCAATAATAGTTAATACCAGTAATTACCAGTTAATAACAGTTAATAGTTATTATCAGTTATTACCAGTTAATAACAGTTATTACCAGTTAATAACAGTCAATACCAGTTAATAACAGTAATTACCAGTTCATAACAGTTATTACCAGTTAATAACAGTAATTACCAGTTATTAATAGTTAATACCAGTAATTACAAGTTAATAACAGTTAATAACATTTAATACCAGTTAATAACTGTAAATACCAGTTAATAGCAGTTATTACCAGTTGATACAAGTTAATAGCAGTTATTACCAGTTGATACCAGTTATTACCAGTTAATAATATATAATAACAGTTAATAACAGTTAATAACACCAGTTAATAAGTTATTACCAGTTAACCACAGTTGATAACTGTTATTAACTGGTAATAACAGTCAATACCAGTTAATAACACCAGTTATTATCAGTTGATACCAGTTAATACCAGTTAATAACAGTAATTACCAGTTAATAACAGTTAATAGTTAATACCAGTCATTACAAGTTAATAACAGTTAATAACATTTAATACCAGTTAATACCAGTAATTACCAGTTAATAACAGTTAATAATAGTTAATACCGGTAATTACCAGTTAATAACAGTTAATAGTTAATACCAGTAATTACAAGTTAATAACAGTTAATACCAGTTAATACCAGTTAATACCAGTTAATAACATATAATACCAGTTAATACCAGTTATTAACATATAATAACAGATAACACCAGTTAATAAAAGACAATACCGGTTAATAACACCAGTTAATAACAGATATTAACAGTTAATAACATATAATACCAGTTAATAACAGACAACATAATACCAGTTACTAACAGATAATACCAGTTAATAACACCAGTTAATAACAGTTAATACCAGTTAATAATAGATAATAACAGTTAATAAATAACAGTTAATAACACCAGTTAATAACAGCTATTAAATAACAGTTAATGCCAGTTATTACCAGTTAATAGCAGTTATTACCAGTTGATACCAGTTGATACCAGTTATTACCAGTTATTACCGTTAATAATAGATAATAACAGTCAATACCAGTTAATAACACCAGTTATTATCAGTTATTACCAGTTAATACCAGTTAATAACAGTAATTACCAGTTAATAACAGTTAATACCAGTTAATAACAGTAATTACCAGTTATTAATAGTTAATACCAGTAATTACCAGTTAATAACAGTTAATACCAGTAATTACCAGTTAATAACAGTTAATAACAGTAAATACCGGTTAATACCAGTTAGTAACAGATAACACCAGTTAATAACAGATAATACCAGTTAATAACACCAGTTAATAACAGTTAATAACAGTTATTACCAGTTAATAACAGTCAATAATAGTTAATACCAGTAATTACCAGTTAATAACAGTTAATAATAGTTATTATCAGTTATTACCAGTTAATAACAGTTAATAACAGTCAATACCAGTTAATAACAGTAATTACCAGTTCATAACAGTTATTACCAGTTAATAACTGTAAATACCAGTTAATACCAGTTATTAACAGTGAATACCAGTTAATACCAGTTATTAACAGTTAATACCAGTTATTAACAGATAATAACAAATAACACCAGTTAATAACAGTTAATAACAGATAATACCAGTTAATAACACCAGTTAATAACAGTTAATAACATAATACCAGTTAATAACAGACAATAACATATAATACCAGTTAATAACAGATAATACCAGTTAATAACACCAGTTAATACCAGTTAATAACAGTTAATAACACCAGTTAATAATAGATAACAGTTAATAAATAACAGTTAATAACACCAGTTAATAACAGTTATTAAATAACAGTTAATAACAGTAAATACCAGTTATTACCAGTTAATAGCAATTAATAGCAGTTAATAGCAGTTATTACTAGTTGATACCAGTTATTACCAGTTATTACCAGTTAATAATAGATATTAACAGTTAATAACACCAGTTAATAAGTCATTACCAGTTAATAACAGTTATTACCAGTTAATAACAGTCAATACCAGTTAATAACACCAGTTATTATCAGTTAATACCAGTTAATAACAGTAATTACCAGTTAATAACAGTTAATAACAGTAATTACCAGTTAATAACAGTTATTAATCGTTATTAATAGTTAACAGTAAATACCAGTTAATCACAGTTGATAACAGTTAATAACAGATAATAACACCAGTTATTACCAGTTAATAACAGATAATAACACCAGTTAATAACAGTTATTACCAGTTAATCACAGTTATTACCAGTTAACAGATAATGACAGTTAATAACAATTAATAACAGTTAATCAGTTATTACCAGTTAATAACACCAGTTAATAATAATAATACCAGTTATTAACAGTTATTAACAGTTAATAACAGATAATACCAGTTAATCACAGTTATTACCAGTTAATCACAGTTATTACCAGTTAACAGATAATGACAGTTAATAACAATTAATAACAGTTAATCAGTTATTACCAGTTAATAACACCAGTTAATAATAATAATACCAGTTATTAACAGTTATTAACAGTTAATAACAGATAATACCAGTTAATCACAGTTGATAACAGTTAATAACAGTTATTAATAGTTATTAATAACAGTAAATACCAGTTATTACCAGTTAATCACAGTTGATAACAGTTAATACCAGTTATAACCAGTTAATAGCAATAATGTACATTATTAAAAGTATTTTTTTTCGTGTAAATTACTGAAAATCGTCCCCTTTAAATCTGAGTCATTCTGTATCTGCATTGACACAATGTCGTAGTACTTATTTTATATTAGATTCAACTGGTGATTTTACCGGAAAATAATCATTTGAAAAAGAAAACCTTTAAATTGACAACATTTACCCCAAAATATTTTTTTGTTTT